CATTAAAAAGCCTTAATGCTTTATCCTTGGTACTGAACATTGTCTCATCACGAGAATGGACCAAGATTTTTGTTGACAATTTTGAACCGTCATTAATGACTTTACNTCCGTAGTGAACTTATGTCGGATATACTCAGTCAATCGGTAGATTTGATATCTTTGAACCGTCGTACTTTANGATCTCTAGTCTTCTAGGTAGAGTTACCGCCACAATGACTTGTTCTCGGCCATAGTCCCATTCCTCTCGATGATTTCTTAACTACCTCTCTAGTTAGGCCTTTTGTAAGTGGATCTGACACATTATCACTTGACTTTATATAGTCAATCGTGATAATTCCTCTAGAGAGAAGTTGTCTAACGGTTTTATGTCTTCATCGTATATGACGAGATTTACCGTTATACATAACGCTTTCAGCCCTTCCAATTGCCGCTTAGCTATCGCAATGTATGCATATTGGTGCCAACGGTTTGGGCCAAAATGGAATGTCTTCTAAGAAATTCTGGAGCTATTCAGCTTCTTCACCAGCTTTATCTTAGGCTATGAACTCAGCCTCCATTGTAGAGCGGGCAATACATGTTTGTTTGGACGACTTCCAAGATACCGCTCTTCCACCAATAGTAAATACATATCCACTCGTGAACATAGAATCAGTTGAACCGGTGATCCAATTTGTATCACAGTATCCCTCAATCACCGCAGGGAATTTACTGTAGTGCAAATCAAAGTTTGGGTATGTTCTAAATATCCCAAAACTCGTTTCATTGCCATCCAATGAGATTAGCCTGGATTGCTCGTATATCGGCTCAGTTTACTTATAGCACAAGCTATATCTGGTCGTGTACAATTCATGATATACATTAAGCATCCCAACACACGAGCATAATCCAATTGTGATATGCTTTGGCCTTTATTTTTTGCTAGTACAAGATTCACGTCAATTGGAGTCTTTGCAACTTTAAAGCCCAAGTGCTTGAATTTTTCAAGTACTATCTTAATATAATGAGATTTTTATAATGCCAGATCTTGAGGAGTCTTATGGATCTTAATTCCCAGAATTAAATCAGCAACTCCCAAGTCTTTCATATCAAACTTGCTATTGAGCATACGCTTAGTAGCATTTATGTTGGCAATGTCATTACTCATTATCAACATATCATCCACATATAGGCAAACAATGACTATGTGATTTGGAACATTTTTAATGTACACACATTTATCACATTCATTTATCTTAAAACCATTTGACAACATTGTTTGGTCAAATTTCGCATGCCATTGTTTGGGTGCTTGTTTTAGTCCGTAAAAGGACTTAACAAGTCTACACACCTTCTTTTCTTTACCTGGAACCACAAACCCTTCAAGTTGTTCCATGTAAATTTCTTCCTCCAAATCTCCATTTAAGAAGGCTGTCTTTACGTCCATTTGATGAATTTCAAGACCATAAACTGCAGCTAAAGCTACTAGCATTCGTATGGACGTAATTCTCGTCACTGGAGAATATGTATCAAAGTAGTCAAGACCTTCTCGTTGTCTATATCCTTTGACAATAAGTCTTGCCTTAAATTTATCAATAGTGCCATCATCTTTCATTTTTCTTTTAAAAATCCATTTACAACCCAAAGGTTTATTTCTAGGAGGAAGATCAACCAATTCTCATGTATGGTTGTTCAAAATGGATTCTATTTCACTATTGATTGCCTCTTTCCAAGACAATGATTCCAAAGAAGACATAGCTTCTTTAAATGTTTGAGGCTCATTCTCCAATAAGAAAGTCACAAAATCTGGTCCAAATGAAGTAGACGTTCTTTGACGTTTACTACGTCTTGGATTCTCCTGATTACATGTACTTTCTTTTGTTTCTTCCCGAGGTCGTTTAGATCCTTCACCAAACGACTCACATTCCTTTTTATACGGATATATATTTTCAAAGAACTCAGCATTATCTGATTCTATAACCGTATTATTATGAATGTCAGGATTTTCTGATTTATGAACCAGAAATCGATATGCTTTACTATTGGTCGCATATCCTATGAAAACACAATCAATTATTTTCGGTCCTATTTTTACCCTTTTAGGTTTAGGAACTTGCATTTTTGCCAAACACCCCCACACTTTAAAATAATTCAAGTTGGGCTTCCTTCCTTTCCATTTTTCATATGGAATGGATTTTGTTTTGCTATGGGGTACTCGATTTAGTATTCGGCTAGCCGTAAGAACGACTCCCCCCCACAAGTTCCGTGGCAAACCAGAACTTACCAACAATGCGTTCATCATCTTCTTTAATGAACAGTTCTTTCTTTCCGCAATTCCATTGGATTGGGGCGTGTAAGGGGCTGTTGTTTGATGAATAATTCCATATTCTAGACATATTTCTTCAAAAGGAGATTCATATTCACCACCCCTATCACTTCTTATCATTTTGACTTTCTTGTTAAGTTGTGTTTCAACTTCATTTTTATATTGCCTGAATGTGTCTATTGCTTCATCTTTACATAGCGATATCGAGTACTGTCGTCAATAAAAGTTATGAAATACTTCTTTCCACCGTGAGATGGTATTGACTTCATGTCACAAATATCTGTGTAAATTAAATCTAAAGGATTTGAATTCCTTTCAACCGACTTATAAGGATGTTTAACATACTTAGATTCCACACATATTTGATATTCTGATTTTTCGCATTCAAACTTAGGCAATATTTCCAAGTTAATCATTTTCCGTAAGGTTTTATAATTGACATGACCCAAACGTACATGCCATAAATCATTAGACTCAAGTAAGTAAGAAGAAACTGAAGTCTTATTATTATTGTCAACAACTATTACATTGAGCTTGAAAAGGGCCTCGTGAGGTAACCTTTTCCTACAAATATTTCATTCTTACTTATTACAACCTTGTCAGATACAAAAACGCACTTGAAACCGTGTTTTACAAGAAGTCCAGTAGAGACTAAATTCTTCCTAATTTCGGGAACATGAAGGAGGTTGTTCAAAGTCATGACCTTGCCAGAAGTCATCTTGAGAAATATCTTCCCATATCCTTCAATTTTTGTTGTAGTAGCATTTCCCATAGAAAGCGTCTCTTCGGGTCTAGCAGAAGCATAGGTAGAAAATGCTTCCCTCATAGCACAAACATGGCGAGTGGCTCCAGAATCAATCCACCACTCCTTAGGATTTCCTACCAGGTTGCATTCAGAAAGCATGGCACACAAGTCATCAACATCATCATGCTTTTCTACCATGTTTGCTTGACCCCTTTTCTTGTCTTTCTTCCGAGCATGACACTCCGTAGATTTGTGTCCAATTTTTTNCGCATTCCACAATTCTTTTGATGTCTCCACGCCACTGTATACATTATACAGATTATCATCCAGTTCGCTAAGAGTATAATTCTTGCACAAAAAATCAGAATGCTTCCACGCCTCAATCACGAGAAAGCTTTCATTCTCTGGAGTTTCATCAGGCAGATCAGGAACATCTTCCTTGATGAACTTCTGTAGACATAACGTAGTCAAGTAGAAGAACATCTTCTGCTGCCAGCGCTTGAAATCTATCCCGAAAAATTTTCCGAGTTTCTCTGCCGGTGCCAACGTCGATGTTCGGCTTGTTGATGCGTTGGCTGTCATCATCGAAATAGCTCGATTTTCGTTGTCATTTTCCATTTCTGTAAAAGAATGACACAAACAAACGTTTAAACTTGGAGAAAAAAAATTACGTAGATTTTAATTTCCAACAAACCGCCACGAAGGCTTTACTCTCCAAACGGGAGTACCCAAAACCACAAAGGTTTTAGTTTCCAGAATAATAAGAATAATACAAATACAAAAATTAAAATTGTTAAATTCCTTAAGTTTGTTAATATTTTTATAAGCTTGTTAATTTTTATTTGACCTGTATTTGTAAATAATAATTTTGGAGAAAAGAACGTTAACCTATAAACGTAAATATAAATGAAACAGTAATTAATTCGAGCCCACTGAATTCACAGTGTTTCCTTAAGGAATTTAATCCCCTTCTAGTACCCAAGGTTATGGATTATTTCCTCCCAGGATAGAACGAATTACACACTGGTGTAGCGCTACTTCAAACCCCAGTGTTTCAGCTAACACAAAGTTCGACAGCAAATCACACTTACGGTTTTGTTTGTAGTTTAAAGCAATGCACAAGAAAGGAGGAGAACTCAGAAGTCGAATGGAAATTCTGAGAGGAAGGAATGCAATTTATAGCCAATGTTGAGCGATAACAGAAGAGGAAATCAGATTGCTTGTTGCTTTCTATTTTCTGTTTGTTTTTTCTGTTTTTCAAAAAACTGCTGGCACCTTTCTTTTATAGTGTAATCAGCTAGTAAACACACTCATTTGGTGAAGCATTTTCTCATGGTGGCTGGAGCACTAAGGCTTTTAGTTAATGGAGGAAGCACTCAACATGGTGGAATGAGCACTTGCTCATTAATATTCACTATTAATAAATATATTGGGTCCAAAAAATCAATCGATCATTTGACCGAAGCCGAAGCCGAAGCCGAAGCCGAGCGAGCGACGACGGCGCGAGGCTTGCCTTCTTCCTAACTCTTTAAGAGCTACATGAAGTGCATTTGTATATAAACCTACCAAACTCCTTTTTCTCTACCAATGAGGGACAATGTCTCATTAAAAAGAGAGGGAAACTTAAAATTTTACTCAAAATTTTCATTTCTCTCCATTTCTCATTCACCCTCTTTTTAATATTTTTCTATATTAAAAAGAAACTCAATAATTATACTAAGCCACACGTGCAGAGGCGGACCCAGAACGTGTTTCTGTATATTTAAACTAAACTCATTGCTTTCGCTTTTTTGCTCAAACTACGTACACATTGGTAAAAAAACATTAAAGTGCATCCAAATAATAAAATCACTCATTCTAAACTCACCAGCTCGAGATCCTGTATTCGCCGGTGCAACTTGATTATACGACTAGCTAGTTTACTGATTTTCTATTTTGTGCATAAATTTGAAGTCAAGGAGAGCATTAAGGGCATTGAAGGGACTTGTGAAGCTTCAGGCATTAGTAAGAGGTCATATTGTGAGGAAGCAAACTGCTGATATGCTACGGCGTATGCAGGCCTTGATAAGAGCTCAGTCGAGAGCTCGTGCTGGACGATCTCAGGTTTCTGAATCGCCTCATTTTAGCGCCAAGTCTATTCAATTTTTTCATCATGTAAGTAAATTATCTCCTTCCCCTCCATTTTCAAATTTGAAAAGAAGCTGGAAATATGTTAATTAGTAACAAGTTGTCGTAATTGTCAACTGATTGAGGTAAATTTTTAGTTTTACAAAGATTTTGTCCTGGTTTAATAATTGTATTTCTGAATCTTGGTGTATAGGGTCCTGCAACTCCTGATAAGTTCGAGCATATTATCCGTGCAAGGAGCATGAAGATTGATCAAATGTTTATGCTCAAGGTATTGGTTGGATATTTTATGCTTCAGGAGACTCATTATCTAGGGAAAACTATTGAAAATATCTCTCTTTACTCTCCGTTATGCTTTGATGCCGTTCATACTGTTGTTGTTAGCAAATTGCCTTGTAGCTGCCCTTGATCCTAACGGAGTTCCAACCTAAAGTATAATGGAAGATAACTTTAGACTAGAGTGACAACTAGAGAGATAAGTCCGGACCTTTTTCCTGATGTATTTTGATACGTGGAATCCAACCAATCCATGATAGAGCCATGTTACGGTGTAGGGGAAGTACGAGACGACTTGCTAATGACAAGGATATGAATGACCCAAAAATATAATGGCACATAAAATTAAAATACTTCATATGCTAGAGAACTGATGTGAATTGCTTCTCATGAGCTAAGGGTCTATCGAAAATAGCATGTGTATACATTTTTTAGATCCCACACTATGGGAATATACTGGGTATATTGTTGTTGTTATTGTATTTTATATGCTAGAGAGGTAAATTTGGACGGTTTTCCCATTATCTATTTGCATAAACTTATGCCTAACATAAAATGGTATTAATGCAGAGGAACTCTTCAAACCATATGAGCTGCAGAATAGACAAAAAACAAGGATCTTTTGCAAGAACTGGCTCAATTGATGATATTGGCAAAATCCTTGAAATAGATAGTGGAAAACCATATATTACTTCCACACAATATAGGAATCTCTTCTATTCCTCTGATCTTAGCTTGAATTCAGAGCAATTAAGTTATAGCTTGGATGAAACCTGTTTCTCCTCTGCTGATAATAGCCCACAACTTCACTCAGCATCATCGAAATGTGCTCGTTCGAGGCGAGGACCATTTACCCCAACTAAGAGTAGCGATGGTACAAGAAGCTGCTCGAGTGAATTCTCGAGTAATCATCCAAACTACATGTCTTACACCGAGGCAGCTAAGGCAAAGACGCGGTCGATAAGTGCACCAAAACTAAGACCTCAGTATGATATGTCAAACTCAACAAAGAGGTACTCAAGATCTAGCTTGCAAAAAGGTTCTAACCATTATACCAACTTCACTAGCAAAGGCGTGCATCCGGGTTCTGGTCGATTGGACAGACATGGAATGCCTGTAAGAGGAGATTCGGATGAGTTTAGCCGTGGTTTTTTGCACATATATTAAGATGATTCAAGTTCAAGTTTGCAGTTTGAGTTTCAAAATTGCTTAACATGCTAACATATATGTATCTAAGTCCAAATATTTAATGTCCTGAACCTGCATTTTCCTTTGTATTAGAAATATGTTTACTGAACTGATGTGAATCACTTTGTGCCTGGTTTTGATTCAACTATAAAGGATGTAGTCTCTCATTTAACTGCATGTTTTTTTTACTGTTGAATCCATAAATTTGTATAAGTCAATGTACATCAAATAGTTTCAAAATTAGTACTTAATACACAAAGGATCTATCAGAAACAGCCTCTCTACCCTCACAAGATAGGAGTAAGGTCTGTGTATACTCTACCTTCCATATACCCTATTTGTAGGATTACACTGGATTTTATTTTTTTTGTTATTGTTGAAATACACAACTAAAACTTTATGCAAAAACTGAAAGAGATTAAACTGTAGGCAAATACTGAGTATAGCGCATATATTATATGCAATATACCTTAACGGGATAACTGGCCGTTAAGGTATAGCGCATGTTTTACATGCGTTATACATAATATTGTTTCCAACAGTTTTTTTTCATCTATTTTCGTGTCTTGAGTCCTAAAATGCAACATTTTGATTCCGGACTCACGAAAGGGATGAAGAGAAAAAGGGCAAAAATCTAATAACATGTTCTGGATAGATAAGAATTGTAGCTTAGGAGAAGTGTCATGTCACGTCTATATAAATCAGAATGTTTCAGATATATACCCAATTTCTTGTTTCCAATTGTAGACCCCCATGTCCATTTGACTTCTAATTACAATCCAAAAAATAAAATAAAATAAAATTGTGGCTTGTCAAATAGACAAACATAAATGTAGTAGTTGTGGCAGCTAAAAAGTTGCATTCAAATGTTCTTGACTGCTTCCTGCAATTTATAGTCCTAATATAGAGAAGACCCCCTTTTACCTTTTAAATTCTTTCTT